GGTTTTAATCTTTTCACAAGTATGGGTGTGATAGAATAAGATGTACTTCTTTCTGCATTAAGCAAAAATCAAAGCTCAGTGCTTCAGTCCTAGCTGATTCTCTTTACAGAGCCCACTCCTTAACTATTCAAGAAGCACATGCAGACAAGATTTATATCAAGATCATGACTTGAAGATAATTCTCAATGCTCTCTCAGTAACTATATATCTGTGTATATGACACTAAGACCTATGATAAGCCGTGCTTCAGTTTACTAATTAAGACATGACTTACTGCTCAGAAGCCAATGAATTTTCATTGCTAGAGTCATTTTCTTACATACACAAAGCTTTATCATACCTCATTAAATACCCCATAATTTGGAATGCCTCACTGTCCTTGACTCCTGACAACATCTATGCTCTGTGTAAATAGTAGCACGGAAATTTAACCCCACGCTATTCTGACTCCTACACTTTTCCCTAATTGTTAACTAATTCAGCTCCACTCTCTGCACAACCTGCAGCAACTCTCTATTGTTAACTTCCTATTAATTTTTTTTAAAAGATCCCATTAATAGACAGAACAGAAAAGACAGGGCACCCTTTGATTAACACACATAATATACCCTACAAGGTTGAAGCTTTTAAACAAGCAGCACTTAACAAGAGTTATTATCATATTCTAACTCTGCATTATAACTGCCAGAGTTCAGAGAATTTGACAATTTAATCACTGTAATATTTCTAAAACCATATTTTACTATTACAAAATCATAACACTGTAACTCAGAAAGATGTGCAAAGGACTATGTTACATGAGGTCCTGTCCTCAGGTTAAAGGTACTCTCTCCAAGCAAGGACTCAGACAAGGCTTTAATGTAAGGACTCTCCATTCTGCCATTAAAAAAATAAAATAAAAATCTGCCCACGTATTTCAGGTAGACAACATGAACAGCCATACAAGCTCCTGATGCACTCTCAGAGGTCTTCAGTCTTGACCCAATCACCATGAAAAATAAATAAGCTTTTCTATTGTCTTCAGTACACATGAAAAACCCCCTCTCACCCACTATTCAGAAAATACGTATTTTTCAAAACATACAATGAAATAAACAAAAGAAAAGAAAAATTGGTATGTCAGATCCATCTCTGGTGTAATACTGGTAAAGGCACGGGATGTACACAAGCGCTGGCTTTCAGAGTGTTTCTCAAGGCACCATCAATAACAGCACTGTGATTTATTGTTTGCCTTTCACTTCTGGAGGTCTGTGGTCAAATGTCAGTGAAGTTCGGACACTCAAAACAAGAGATATTGCCACACATCTCAATGTCATCAGCCAGCCAGCACAGCTGCTAACCTCCACTTCCTACTGGTTAAATGCTTGGGAGATAAGGGCACTATTCACAGGTCTGAAGGGCGAGTTACTGAAGGGGTTATATCAGCACTTGGGTCACGCCACAAGAACTGGGGGAATGAGTAACTCACTCCCTGGCAGAGCCTGTATGGTCATCACCAATTCCTTCCCACCTTACTAACACACACACACCCTCAGCACAGAGTAACGCAGATATTGTTCTAAAAGATCTGTGGTATACTGGTGATAGTTTAGAGATAATACATCTATATTCCCTACTCTTGATTCTTGCTCCCATCAAAGAAAGACTGAATTAGCACCAAGTCCTTATTGCAAAACAAAGTCATCTGTGTAGCAGGAACAACCTAAAGGAAAAAGGAAAAAGGATAAAACTTGAAAGTAGTGACTTCACAGGAAGTGCTGTGTACCACACGTGGCTGTGGTGTATTCATAGCCCTGTAACAAGTGACGTTGCTCAACTGAATCCTTCCTGTACTTCCCACCATAATGTGTAGCACCGCTGTCTGTCTAGCACCAAATACACAGGGACAGAAGCAAACCTCTGTGATCAGCACAAGCTGTTTGCCACTCTCATCATCCACTGAACTTTTCAGTAACCAGAGTGCTGGAATATCCATATAACCGAAACTACGCAAGCTTCTTTATAAGTAGAGGCATCAGTCTTCCTATTAACAATGCCAAGGGTTTTGCTGGAAGGATGACCCCCCCATATACAAAAACATTCAAACTAAAGCTGGTTTTGTCAGTGAAGATAAGGATATGTAAGCATAAACTTCTCCCAAAAGCCTTACAACATGAGTTACTAGTAGGTTCATTGTTTGGGTATTACAAGCCAGATTTTCAACTTGATAAATTATTCCATGGAAACCAAGTTTGGTAATAAGCCCAGCATGCTCTAGTCACACACATATTCACATATCATGCCCCAATTCTCTTACAGTGTAACTAAAACTAATTTACAAGTGTGACATAAAACCTACGGCACTCAATTGAAAAACTCAGACTGACAAAGTTTCAGAGCTCCACACTTAAAATAATAAACTTCTGAAATAAATAATAGATTACTTCATACTGGGAAGCAAAAAAAAAGTACAAATTCTGCAGCCTTTGTTTATACACCAGGTTACTCTCAAGAATAAGTAAAGCCATATCAGGCTGCCAATGGCAGACGTACAGTGGTAGGGGCTGTCAGGAAAGCTCAAGCCACAAACAAACTATTTTACACTGCTATTAATGACAGGCAAATTATTTCCATTTCAACTTTAAGACATAACACGTAAGCAAATCTACAGCAAAACACGACATTTCACTATTTGGCCAGCAGGATGTGAGCTATTTCCACAGAGAGGATATCAGTTAACTTGGTAAAATAATTTTACGTTTCTTTCTCTCTGAAGTCATACTGTAGTTTCCTCTCTTTACTCAGTGTAATATTTTCTGATTTTATTTTCCTTACAAGAAGCACATTCATAGCAGAAATTGTTCAAAACTTAAGCTGAGTCTCCATTTAGCCTACAAATACCTTTGCTCAAGGAGAGGTGCTGTTGCATTTGTTCTGTAAGAATCCTCACACCTCCAGCAGTACATTCAGTCTTAGTCAGCAGTTTTCCTTCTCTCCATAAATAACCGCAGCAGGAAAAGCACATATGAAAGCCTTCTGATGCTTTCCTTCCACACAAAAGTCAAAGCCCAGAGTAAAACAAAGAACTTCTTAAAATAGAAAGTTTACAATAAATTGCTTAGAATAAAAAAACACCACTTAGATTGCAAATGCTGAAACCACATTAATTTATATACAGGCACTTATAGTCCACATATTTGTGTCAGAGTTAAACTGTCATGTATTAACCTAGGCTGCATAAATGTTCTTTTTAAAATGTTTCTACCACTGGTATTTTCTTTCCTAATTTCAGCAGTCTTTCTATCCCAAATACCTCTGTGCTCATTACCCAGAACGTTTAGGTGTGATCATAGCAAAAGATTGTTATGTTTTATTTGGTTAGAGCCTTTAAAATGAAATACATATGTTTTCAATTAACAAACATCAAGCCAAATTTAGCTCTCACATCCCATTTTCTGTCACTCCAAAGGCTGAGGACACTCATTTCAGAAAAACATCTAGCAGAACCCTGTAGTAATTTTTTTAGAAGCTTTATAAATGAAAGCTGACATGTCATACAAGAAGAAAATACCAAGATCAAACCTTTGAGCATAGAAAATGAGAAGAATTACGAAAGGAAATGTTATCACCTCTTGCTTTATTCCTTCAGTTGTGCCTATGGACGAAAGACAGTTTCCGACTGAAGTAACTTCCCGCATACCTCATGGCAGCTTAAAATATGCATGAAGCCCAAATGACTACTGGATAAAACATATCCTGTAAAGCAGACTGGAACTACACATCATATTTCTGATAGCATTGTAATAATATATAGCAACTGCTTTAACTTTAGCTTAAGAGTTTGTCAGAAATCTGCAAATACTCTAACTCCATTCCCTGTGTCTTTATGTACAGTGGAAGTTCTGGTATAGATAACTGTACACGACTGAATACTGAATTGCTTTCCTGTGGTCAGAGAAGTGCTGACAAGACCAGACCTTTGGGTAAATGGGAGCTGTTAGAAGTGTTATGGTTGGAAAAGACCTTTAAGATCATCAAGTCCAACAAGCATATGGAAGCTCTCATTTCAACAGAAATAGCCAGGCTGTTTGCAAACATGCTTTCCAGTCAGGAACAGCACTTTCAGGTATAGTACTTTTCAGAACAGTGTTTGACATGCAGAGAAACACCTTCTCCTCTCAGACCTAATTCAGAGTCAAGACCAAGGAAGATGAGACTGTACTGTAGTGAGTCTGGTAAGCTCTGATTACATAGTTAAAATACATTATTTTATTCCTTTATTTACAAAGGAGTCAAATTATAGTCTCTGCTGCTCAACATCCAGTGTTTGGGTCACAAACACTTCACTCTTGCTGCTCAAATGATAGTCCACAAGTACTGCAATAGTATTAGAAGTGCCCTGCAAAATAATCACACAGATAAGTGATCCAACATCTACTAGCTAGATATACTCTGGATTGTAAAACAAACTAGGTGCCACCAACATGGCATAGTACACTTATTACATGATTTTGGGATAGGAATCTAAAATAGCATCCTTTTATGTTGCTCATCAGAGTTTATGGTCAGGTTTCAATGCCACTTTCTAACTCATGTTTTCACAATTTCACCGTTCCTTACAGCAGATACAGATCAGGATTTTCATTACAGCTCAATGCACAGTATCCATCTATACTTGATTGGCAGGTTCGCGTATACGGGTATACACAGAACATGCAAATTAAGATCTACACAGTACTTTCACAACAGTAACAAGCGATAATAGTCAGCACTTTTCCCACTTCCATATTAACTGTTCTTTTCCACAACTTTACAGTAGCTGACAAAATAAAAACACAAAACCTCAAAACAATTCAGCCTTGCTGTCAAGACCAAGTATTTTCCTGAAGTTTAAGGCCTCTTCCTCAGAGCAAAGCTGGCAAGAGTCTTACCACTGCCCAAGGTCAGATTAGTTTCAGAATTAAACCTCATGTTTGCATCAAATTATATAAATATGAAAGAAGAGAGGTGTGACAACTTACTGGTGAGAGAAGTCCTCTGCAAAAATGATTATATAAAGGGTAGGACAGGCAAAGCTCTCATTAAAGTCAATAAACAGATACCCAAAGCACCAGCTGCCCTCTCCATCATCTTGCGGCTCGAGTCCAAATTGTAGACAGTTGAAATACTCTGCACAATAGACGCCAGTCAACTCAGGTTTAAAGTAACAACTGCTTTCATTGCACTGTTAATAATACGGCAGACTTCTTAAAAAGATTATTTGGCAAAAAAAAATATCAGAAAGCCCACCATGTTGCGAGCAGAAAAAACATATCTTTGTCTGTAAAGTAGTTTTAAAACTATATACCTAAAAAAGTAGATCACCTTTCTACATAAGCAGGTTGATGAACATCATGAGTGTAAGAAGCGACATTTAGGAATTCTGGTCCCACATCATGCTACTTACAGCCAGGTCAATTTTAAACAGAAAGAACTGAATGGAGAAAGAAACACAGTACTTATTGGAAACTTTCTAAGACCAATTTGTAACTTATGTATTACACATCTTCACACAGTTGGCATACGCTCATCTTATTAATCAGTTTAAAATCTTTAAAAAGAGAAGTCTTCTCACTTACCACTTCGGGGTTTGTCAGCCCTGTCAAGTATACACATTTCACTGAAAGTAATCTGGATTTGACCCCTATACAGAGCAGGTTATTTCAACTGCAGGCATTCCGTAAGTTAGTCCAGATAGGTGAATGGACCAATGGAGAAAGCGATGTGATAAATGATGAGGACAGCACCTGGCACAGACCTCACTGTCTCTTCTGTCTCACAAGCAGATCCAACAAGTGGTCAGTTCCACAGATGTCAACACAACTTCTCACAGCTGCTTATAAAATGGAAACACATGAACTCCATCCAAGACTATTTACTAAGGCAAAATCCTCACTTTCTTCAGAGGCTGACTCCAAATCTAAGTGTAAAGGCCTGGAAATGGGTTTTCAACTAGGACACTCCTTCATGAAAACATCTCAAAGCACAAAGAAACAAAATGGAACAGTCTGTAGATATTCTGTCAAGTCTATAAAGTTCTTTCTACAGCATAGTAGGATGTTTGAACTTTGTTTTTAATCATTTAATTTCCTGTATTTCATTCATTTCAACATTGTTGTAACCACTCATCTTTCAAAATAACGAAATACTTAAATTGTGACTTATCTTTAAGAAAAAGAATAATTAATTTCAAGCAGTGAGGATGCACAGCTCTTAAAAGCTGGGCATGTTTACTTGGTAAACTTACTTGGTACCTTTCTAAAAAGCAGCAATAACACCACAAAAAAAACCTTAAGATCTTCCTCAATTTTTAATTTGTTATAATTAAAAACATGAAAATTCAAGGCTTTGAAAAGCTTTAGGAGCTATCAGATTCATTTGTATTGAGTCTAGCTCTTCTTCTGGGGCCTTTTCCAGAGTTCATGGAAAAAGATATAAGAAGCCTTCCATCAATAAACAGGAAATTTTAAAAACTTTAAAGCTACACAAGGGGTACGTTAGGAAGGTGAAAATGAAATTGGAGACATTCACCTCCATTCTGCTGACTTAGAAATAGGCAGGACAAGAAACATATGCAATTCCTTGGTGATGTAAACATAAATTTACCCAGGGACAAACAGTTTACTTCTACCAACGACAGAGCAGGATCAAAGCCAAGAGCTGCTTCTTGATACCTCACACCAACACTCCAGATGCACTTCTCTACTCTTTTAATCCACCCAACACCTGCTAGATAGATAAACAGGTATACTCCGATTAATTCTCTTGGTAAAGGAATAAAGCTAACACCAGACTTATTACCTTTCATTTCACAAAAAACATTATTCCTCTTCCAGAAACAGCTGAAGTAACACTGAAACGACCTTAGTAATTTTCCAAAGTGAGTTTTCACTAAATGCATTGACCCACCATTCATTCCATTGTATATACTCCTGTGGTGAGGTGACAGGTCATCTGTTACTTGTCTCCTGAGGGTACCTTCTCTGCTGCCTCCACTGAGATGTTTGAGATGCTCTGGGCTTCCTCCATAGTGTTGTTTGAGATGCTCAGGGCTCGTACCCCTCACTTTGTGGAGATGTTCTGTACTTCCACTTGACGTGTGCTTTTGAAGATGATCTGGGCTGCCACTGCTGTGCTTTTGATGCTCAGGGCTACTACCAGGCCTCTGCTTTTGAAAGTGTTCAGGGCTACTACTCAAAATGTGCTTTGGGAGAGTTTCTGGGCTGCTGCTGCTGTGCTTTTGTTGTTCAGGTGCTTTGACAATGGTTTTGTGATGTTCTGGACTTGGTCCTTTCAGGTGATGATCAGGACTGCCAGAACTCCTAGGCTTCTGGAGGTGCTCTGGGCTGATACTCCTGTGTTTCTGATGCTCAGGGCTTCCTTCACCCCGCATTTTTTGAAGATGTTCTGGACTAGTACTTGGATGATGCTTATGATGGTCTGGACTATCTGTACTTCCTGTGCTAGAAGTACTACTCCCATCACCGACATCTCTTACGTAAGCACTTGTCGTGGTTAACTGGCACAGGCTGATCTGGCTGTCGATAGAGCTCCGGCTGCCTGCTCCGCCACTTTTCTCCTCATCCAGCAACACACACAATTCTTTCAGCTCCAAGTTTTCCTTAACCACTTCTTCCTGCCTCACTTCCAGCTCTTTCAGCTTCTGTAAGTATAAGGCAACCTCTTTGTGCATAACGCTAGCACTGTATCTGCTCAGCCTCTGCCATTCACGGGATACCTTCTTGCCTTTCTGTCTGTCATCATCCAGAAAGCAGCAAAGGTCTCGCAGTTCTTGGTTGTCTTCTTGCAGCTTCTGGTTGATATCCTTTAAAAGAAAGACAATCATGACAGTGAAGTGTCTGAAAGAATTAACGTTATACCATTACCATTATACAAGCCAGTAAACAGCACTGCTATAAACCCATCATCTAAGCACTCAAGTGAGGCACAAATAATTGTGTGTGTAGAACTGGCATATTATAACAGCATCATGCTTGAAGCAAACAAAGCTGCTGCCCAGTAAAACTGACTATAACATGGAGCTAATCTTGAAGGGTTCAAAGACTAACTTCTGATACAGCATAAAAGTTTCAGGTGCTTAATTAACTTTCATGCTAAGTATCAGAATAATTTAGCTTCCAAACTGGACAAAGATCATAAGCTCTCTCATTATGAGCTCACTCCCTTAAGAAATATTCACCTGAGAGTCACTGCTGAATAAAACTGCAAGGTACATCAGAAATCTCACTCAAATAATTAATTATTAACATTTATACTCTCTATTCCCTAAAGCATATTCACATATAAAGATGAACTTTTTAGAGATTTAAAATATTTGGGGTTCGTTTGATTTTGTTTCAGATTTGCATAAAAGAACCTTGTTAGTCATCACTTAATCAGAATTGCTTCAACCACTCCAAAATGAAATAATCTGCTTTAATAGATTTTCGACTCCTAACAAAATGAAGTACATGATTCTGTACTCTTCTTTAAGTGAGGAACAGTCTGAGCCAAAATGTTCAAGCTATTACTATAGAATAAAAATATGCCAAAGAAAACACTGTCAGTATTTTATCCTCCAAGTTTTACTAAACTGGCTTGTGACCATATTAAGCTTTCTCCCATCTAAATATCCATTCCTTTTTATGTATGATATTAAAAGTAGAGATCAGCCACAATTGTTAAAAATTTAGCCTTACGGAAAGACCATTTTAGCCCTGTTTCTTAAGAAAAGGAAGCCTTTGTAACTCCACTGGGTTTGTAGGCATGCATGTGTTTGATCTTTGTCTCAAAGTAATTTTAACTTTGAACTTGACCAATATCAGCCCATATCCAACACAGGAGAAATCTCAATGAGGCTACAGGGTAGTCTTAAGAATCTGTGCTGGTAAGAGATATTTAAAATGACCCTGTGGTTGAATAAAAATGTTTGCAAGGAAGCCCACAGTTCATCAGTCAGAAGCAGGAGGCACCCATCCACCAAAACCAGGTGCAGCTAGGTTACTCATGGACCAGTTACTTCACACAGAACCAAGGAGGTGGATGTCCAGACACCAATGTAGGGCTCAAAACCTTGTTCTTCCAAATGCCTTTTAAAAGTTCCAGCTGAGGCATCTGAACTAAAGATGGGAGTTAAACATCACTGAAGGAGTTCAGAATGGAGAGGGGGATTTGTCACTCCTTCCTATGCATCTTGGTGTGTTTTGTTACTTATCTGGAAGAAATCTGTATGATGTCACAACACTTTTGTACATAACTGGGAGAAAGATGTTATTGTTATAATTTAACTTACATTTAAAATGTAAGCTTTATTTTCACTAAAGCATCATCATTGCTGGGTCTTTTTAACCCCTGACACCATGTATTATCCAAAAGAGGGAGGAGATGCACACACACTCATACTTCACAGAACAGGAAAACTTGGAAGACAGGAACAGTCTTCCCCCACATGCTATTTATTTTATGCCACACTATTATCAAAGACACTATCAGTAATTTAGTTGTTTAAAGCCATTCTACAAGTCAAGAATTCTTCTCTAATGTACTCTCATGTAACAATTCAAAAGCCCACACTGCATCTCTGTCTCTCCTCTCCTTCCCTCCAACCTCACCTCACTGAAGGTATTTCCTAAAAACTTCTCAAAGCAACAAGACAGAAGATGTTTTGCAGTCACTCCTCTTTAACACAACTTTATATGTCTACAATACATGCATATGTGTTACATGAGGGTAATTATCTGCACATAGTCACACTATCTTCCCAATCCTCAGAACTGCAAAGGAAACATTAGGGACTTTGCTTTTCATGCAACAAAAGACTTAAATTAAGGCGGAATAAGTCATTACAGACTTGGTCTGCCTCTCACTGTCGCCTGCAGAAGTATACAATTGAAAATGGTTTGATCAGAGATGTGTTACCAGACCTCATTTTCAGACAATAAACTAGGGATTGGATATGATCATCCTGAAACCAAGGGCAAGGGCTTGCCATCACCCGTGACACACTGCATTGCATCCTGAAAATGATCAGTGCTCTCCAGCAGTCTTCCAGACTGCCTGACAGATAAGTAAATCATCTTAAAGTAATGACAGAAAGCAGCTGACAAGCTACACAGACTCTTTTGAATGCCTACAGCTCTGCACACTGTTCTTTCATGTGCACTCGGGACAGGATCATTTAACCTTACTAAAAACCAGTGAAGTTTAATACAGAAGCAACAAGACTCAAGTGTTTTTCTCAATCCAAAGCATACAAACAGCCGTGCTCCACAGCCTGCAAACCAGTCAGTCATCTCTTAACCGGACACTCGATTCTTAAACGGGATTAAACACTATTCACTCCAGTCCTTGTTCACTTTTCATGCGATTCTCAGTCACGGCTCTTCCCTGACCATCCACCTGAGGAGGCCGCTCCCGGCGAGACGAATGGGGGGCGCGGAGAGACGGCAGAAACTTCAGGGGTCCCACCCTGCCCACCCCGCTACCTTCAAGCCGCGGATCTCGCCGAGATGAAGCTGGAGACGACGGTTCACCTCGCGGATGAGGTTGCTGTGGTCCAGCATCGCGCTCATCTTCTCGGCTTCGGCTCGGCGGAGGCTGCGGATCAGCTCCTCCTTGCTCCACTTGAGCAGCT